GCTACTTTATCAGATCAAATGAAAATGCCATCGAAACTTTTCTGAAGACAGTCGGTTCCCTTCAGAGATACATTCATATAAAACACCTGCGCCGTGTTATGATTTTGAAACGTGCAGTGCTCATGTTTATTCAACGAAGTCAAACTGCACAAATAAATCAATGTATGGGAAACACTGGTAATGTATATCGAAATATCGGCAATGTGTTTAAAAATCATATCACCGTTATTGAAAAAAATTATATCGCGATACATATTGATATTGAATTATTGTCCAGCCCTAGATTAGTGCATGTGTAATCTCAGTGGAATGCACTGTTTCAGAGCCCCAGCTGTACCAGAGCACAAAACACGCAGGTTATAATCCTCATCCACTGCATACGTGTACATATGAAACAGAGAAGAGCATAAGTACATAATAGACTGATCTTTGGTAGAAGCTTCAGGTCAGGTCACGTGTGCGCGATGTTGTGTGCATGTTATAGTCTTTTGGTTATTTAGAGTGAAAACACTCAAAATGCGAAGGTTTCTATGGCATCTTCTTTTTAGTCTTGACAAGGCCTTTCTCTACTAGGCAGCGGTAAAACTCCTGGATATACGTGTACACACACTTCCAGTCTGGCTCTCGCATCCGCATCAAGTCATCAACGTCCAGCAGGGGAGGACAGTCAGCTAGCCTCCTACACGCATAAAGACATTTAAGCTTATTTTTAGGACCATTGTGGGTTGTTGTTGTTTTTTTGACTTAAGCACATTTTTGTTCCAAAATACCTAAAACACATTTCCTCCGCTTACCACACATTTCTCATTAGAATAATGGTAGAAAATAGTGATGTCTTAAAGGGGTCAAATGATGCTATTTTAAAGATCATTATTTTGTGTATTTGGTGTAACAGAATATGTTGACATGCATTGTAAATAGAGTTGTTATGCTGTCTTTAATTTATGCTGATTTAATTGAAAAAAAAAAGTGCCTGGATGAAAAGAGAAAAGATGAGCCATTTAAATTTAAATTAATTTGAAAAAATAATAATACATTATAATTTAATTATAATAATAAAATAAATTATATGAATTATTAATATATTGAACAATTGAATATATTACAATTATTACTATTATAATAATAAATTATATATTATATACATTATATTAATTATTTTATTATAATGAAAATGCTATTTCTTTTTCAGGGGAAGTATGCCCCAAACATTTCACACACAAGACATGCAAAGGTGGATGCAATAAATAGTGTCAAGTCTCACTCTGCAGTCTTGAATGCCTTCTCAAAGTTGGCCCTGCGATCATAGGGGTCAAGAGTGCAATATTCAAAGCTCTCTGGGAAGAACCTGTGCACCAGGGCACAAAACGCCAGACCGTCTGCCCAGCTAGATGAGAAATTTTGGATGTTCACACCCTAAACATAGAAACAAGTATAAGAGGGAGAATCACAACAAAGCTGTGAAGAAAAAGAAATAAATAAAAAGTGTGTTTTGCTTAAAACAAAGCCCATGTCGGCGCCAATGGCCTCGTGGGCAGCGCGCCGACATGTAGTGCGTTTGCGCTTCGGGCATCCCGAGTTCGAGTCCCGGCTCGTGGACCTTTCCCGATCCCGCTCTCTCTCTCTCTCTCACCCACTTCGCTTCCTGTCGACCTACTGTCCTATCTAAGTAAAAGGCATAAAACGCCAAAAATAAATCTTAAAAAAAACAAAAACAAAAAAAAACAAAGCCCATTTTTAGGACCATTAGGTTTTTTGCATTGTTTAAATTATAAAAGACATCCACCACCACAAACCTAATTTACAAATTTGCAAATATAAAAAAGCATTTATACCTACAGTATTTGTTCAATTTATGCTGATGTACACAAAATAAAATAAAAATTTAATTATGATTTAAAAAAAAAATTGCAAAAAATGTTTTTGTTGTAATAAAGGGAATCAAAATTGAGCATTTACATAAATTAAATGTTAATCAGGATGCATTACAGTAATGACGGTAAGTGGGAAATGTGCTTATATTTCATAAAAGTAATGTCATAATGCCAAAAATCTTTATAGTCATAAAAATAGGTTTGGTTCTCTTTATGTTAAAATGTAATTTCTTATTTTTTCTTTAGATTTTGGGGTGAAATGTGACCTGGACGTCTCTGTGAGATTCACACAAGGAGGCTAGCAGAGCCTGAGACATGTAGCAAAACAGAAACTGTTTGATTTGATCTTATTTTGTCTCTTCAGGCGCACCTCATATGGTTCAGTCTTGACTCTGCACCAGTCCAGCAGCATCTGTTTGACATCTTTGGTATTTGGGCCCCCGACCGCCGAGCCGCCTGGCACTTTAACCCTGGCTGCATGGGACTGAGCCGGGCTTTAGGAGGAAAATAACACTATCAGTTAACGGGATACGTCCCATGCTGTCGTCCTGTCAGGACTCTGGGAATGACTCACCTGCCCACAGCTTTTGGAGAGGAAGTAGAGGTTGGTGGAGAAAATGTTTTTGCCTGAGCCATCCCTGTACCAAAGTGAAGTAAAAAGAGATAGGGAAGGTTATCAAAGCCTTGCAAATTGAAGTGCAGGTACATAGTGTTCAGATCCTCATGAATGATGGTCACTCACTGTGTGCTTTGTACTGAGCGCCGCTCGGACCATTAGCGGGTTTCTGGTCCTTATTCAGTCCAGCAGCTGTCTTTCCTCCACCACCCTGCTGACGCAGGGTCTCCATCCGGGCCACCCGCTCCCTATCACGCCGCTCTGACAGAAAGAGAGGGGTTTAACTCAAAAAACAGTAAAAAAAAAAAAAGTTAACAAATACACAGTAGAAGTTCATTTTATTGACTTCCTTTGATTGTTTGTGTAATAGTAAGGACTCTTAAAGGCGGAATCTCATGAAACCTGTCAAGAAAATGTCTGGCTTATTTTCACACACTACTGTTCAAATGTTTGGGGTCAGTAATTTTTTTTTTTAACAAAACGAATACTTTTATTCAGCAAAAGTTGACAAAAAAAGTGAAAAAAAGTTGTCAAATGTGACAGTAAAGACATTTATAATGTTACAAAAGATTTCTATTTTAAATAATGCTGTTTTTATTCACTTTCTATTCATTTAAGATTCCTGAAAAAAAAATCTTGTTTCTACAAAATTATGAAGCAGCACAACTGTTAACATTGATAATAATCAGAAATGTGACCCTGGAGCACAAAGCCAGTCTTAAGGGTACATTTTTTTAAATTGAGATTTATATATCATCTGAAAGCTGAATAAATAAGCTTTCCATTGATGTATGGTTTGTTAGGATAGGACAATATTTGGTCGAGATACAACTATTTGAAAATCTGGAATCTGAGGGTGCAAAAAAATCTAAATATTGAGAAAATCACCTTTTAAGTTTCCAAATGAAGTTCTTAGCAATGCATATTACTAATCAAAAATTAAGTTTTGATATATTTACGGTAGGAAATTTACAAAATATCTTCGTGGAACATGATCTTTACTTAATATCCTAATGATTTTTGGCATAAAAGAAAAATAAATAAGTTTGACACATGCAATGTTTTTTTTGGGATATTGCTAAAGATATACCCCAGCGACTTAAGACTGGATTTGTGCTCCAGGGTCACAAATGTCTGTTGAGCATCAAATCAGCATATTAGAATGATTTCTGAAATATCATGTGACACTGAAGACTGGAGTAATGATGCTGAAAATTCAGCTTTGACCACAGGAATAAATTACATTTTAATATATATTCAAATAGAAAATAGCTATTTTAAATTGTAATCACAATTTTACAGTTTTTACTGTATTTTTTATTTAAAAAAATGCAGCCCAGGTGAGCATGAGACTTCTTTCAAAAACATTAAAAAACCTCAAATATAAATTTTGTATGATATTATTTTGCATATAAAACTGTAAAATATATTTATTATTATATAAATAAGAAATTATATTAAGACAACTATAACCTTTTTGATTGCATTATTTTATTACTTTGATCTTTTGCTTTGTTCCATGCCAATTAAAGACACAACCTGTTCATATTTTAATTACTGTTATACAAAAACTCTTTACTATTGCAATGCAAAAATACTCTTAATTTATAGATCATTATATATTATTGAAATTGTAAAGTATTTTTATATGATGGTAGCATTTATTGTACTGTCTTTAACTCATGTTTTTCATGCTTAATTTAACTTCAAATTAATTGTATTACAGTTAGTTTTAACAGTAGGATAATACTACTGATGAATATGATAATGAGATAAAGATAATGAGACTCAAATGAGAATTAACACTAAGAAAGGGGGGCGGGGTTGCTTTATAACATTATTTCCTTGACAATTTATCACATTTCCACCCAAAACTGGCATTACTATAATACAAAAAAAATCTAATTGACAGTGATGAGAATTGCTCTGTCCAGATGCATTTCCCCACTTAGTATAATTAGCATAAATACTAAAGACAGTACAGCAAAGCATGATTTATGCATACAGTAATGTCACAAAGAACGTCTTCATTTGCTTTATGCAAAATATATTAATTTCTATTGACTTCAATGTGATCAATATTCCTGACATGTTTTGTGAGATTCACCAAAAATAATGTTGGGAAGCACATTAGACTCTGTTGAGCCATATATGTGACCCTGGACCACAAAACCAGTCTTAAGTGTACATTTTTCGAAATTGAGATGTATACATAAATGAATACATAAAGCTGAATAAATAAGCTTTCCACTGATGTATGGTTTATTAAGATAGGACAATATTTGGCCGAGATACAACTATTTGAAAATCTGGAATCTGAGGGTGCAAAAAAAATCACAATACTGAGAAAATCGTCTTTAAAGTTGTCCAAATGAAGTTCTTAGCAATGCATATTACTAATCAAAACTGAAGTTTTAATATATTTACGGTAGGAAATTTACAAAATATCTTCATGGAACATGATCTTTACTTAATATCCTAATGATTTTTGTCATAAAAGAAAAATCGATAATTTTGACCCATACAATGTTTTTTTGGCTATTGCTACAAATATACCCCAGCGACTTAAGACTGTTAAGTGCTCCAGGGTCACATATACTGAATATGTGACATCAGGGACATGACCCAGTCCTCACCCCTCTTTCTCTTCAGCAGTTCTCTCATGGCAGCGCGGATCATTTTCCTCTCCTCGAAATCCACAGCCTTATCTAGCTAGTACATGCAGTAAACAGAAGGGAAACACTTTCCTAAATATGCTTAAGACAAACTATGATAACAATCCCGCTCTGCGTGCAGTGCCATTAGTTGTCTCTTACCATATTATTGAGGATCTCTTCATCCTCTATAGCTGCCAGCTGTTCGACTGTCAGGGGACCCGTCGTATCAGGCTGCTCTTTGGTACCTGCCTCTAATGTTCCCTTCTCACCCTCCATCTTCAGTGACAGCTGGGACAGAAGGAGGAACAGGAGGTGTTGATGGAGCCAGGTTACGAGATGTGTGCGTGGGAATGAGGGAGTATGGAAAGGAAAACTGAGGGAAAGCGATTCTAGCTGAACGCTTTGTGCGAGAGCTACTAGTACAGAGATATTTTGAAACCCCAAGATGCTTGTTTGAAGCTACAAATCGCTAGTCTAATTAGTCACAGCCAAATTACTGGTTTGAGCAGTTTCTGAACAAACAGGTTACATTAAAAAATATTTGCGTGGTTGTTTTTTCACATTGTCAAGCTGCTTTAAGCCACACATAATGATGACTGCTTGCATCCATTTATGCAGAAAAAAGGACATCCGAATGGCAATGTCCAAATATTCATCTCAACATAAACAGAAACCATGTTGGTTGGCATTGATATTAGCCAGTGCTTTAGGATGTGTCTCGCACCTTCTGCCCATAGTCCTGTAAACAACTGAGACTCAAAGGCAAAGACATCTGTGGAATAACATGCTTCATGAGTGAAGAATATTTCCCATATTTGCAAATGAGTACAGTGGCACCCAAAAATATTTAGACACTTAAAGGGATAAAAATTCTGTCATCATTCTCATGTTGTTCCAAACATGCATGACTTTCGTTCTTGTCTGGAAAGACAAGTAAAAAAATAACAAATATTTAAATTACTTCTGTCCATTTAATGAAAGTCAGTGGGGTCCAAAACAACATCAGACCCCTTTGATTTCCATAGAATGGGGGGAAAATTATATTTTTGTGTGTTTGTCCCACAGAATAAAATAGTAATGCAAGTTTGGAATGACTTGAGGATGAGTAAATGGTAAATGATGACAGAATTTGTATTTTTGTGTGAACTAACCCTTTAAGCCACATTTAAAAATGTATTAATATCACTGCATCAGATAGAAAATATCAAACCAGGGATTAGTTTTTAATCAAAAAAGATAATTTCTTAGGTTTTGAATGATAAAACAATATATATTCTGTTCAACATGAAGTATAAGGGCATTTTGTGGTTGTCTACAGAGCTCCCAAGGGCTGGTGATGCAAAAAAATAAGTTTGAAAAAAAATGTTCAATGCTTTTGTGTTCACTCACAAAACGTTACAATTCCTTTTGCAAAAGTTCCCTTGTGTTCCCCAAGAAAATCTATTTGCTTATTTTTCCTCCTTCTTTCCACCTTCTTTCCTTCCACTCGCATTTTCACATTGCAAGTTTGGCATTTGTTCAAGAAACTATGTTTGTTCTTAAAACTCACAATTATTGCATTCCTCCGAAAACCTTTGCATCCGCTCACCAAAAGTACAGAGCCCCATACATGACATGTGAAAAGTAAATAAATAAATAAATCATGGCCACAAATTAAGAATTAGTTCCCACAATTTATTAATTAGTTCCTTTGTTTTAGGTAAATCATGGCCATGTTGTACTAATTTGATCCCACAATTTATTAATCAGTTCCATAATTTTAGTTAAATTGTGGCCACAATTCAACTAAATTAACACGAGGGAACAATATAGTACAATTTGGCCATACTAAAGTTTTGCATTCCCCCAAACTCTGTGTTCACTCACAAAAGCATCAAAATATAGTTTATTTGCTCCCTATTTATGTTACCAGTTTTGCGTTCTTTTGCGAATGAATGCAGCATTTCTTGGGGGAATGCAGAGCATTGAAATATAATTTTAATATAATTCCCCTTAGTGGATCATGTTCATAGTTAATGCAATAAACTACACTGATAGGACACCTGTGTTGACCAGTTGATTAAAAGTCAATGCAAAAGTGGCTCAGAAAATTGAATTCAATCCTGAGAAATGCTCTGTCAGCATTTGAGCGCAGATGCCTCAAGCATCCAGATACACTTTAGTGCTGCTGTATGTTAGTATCTGTTGGGTACAAAGTGTGGGCTGAGGCTAGCAGAATAAGTAATGTTGTTTCTGCATCCCATGATACAGTTTTACCATAACAACACATAATAATGTCATCGGAATTTATATAACCGCTCAAAAACAATTTGCTCTTACACTGGTCTAATAGCTGTTATGTAATCACACAATCATTACACTGAAAGATAGATGGAAATTCATTAGAAAAAGTTCTTGTAAAATCTCGCAAAATGACAAACAGAAAGATGAAGCTCACCGATCTCACTGCAGCTGTCCGAGAGGAAAGGTCTTGCAGTCTGATCTGTGTGATCACTTATGCTCAACTCAACTCAGATGCTGGAGTGACTTGAGTTTTTCAGAGCCACCGTGAGAGCCCTCCCACCCGACCCTCATCACCCTCTTCTGAAGGGACCAGGAAAAAAAATGTGGAAAGAGCAGAACGGGACATTAAGTATTAGTGACATATTTGGCACCGCTTGTCCTGATCTTTCCCTACTGTCAGTTTTTACTCACAAGATCACACTGTGTCATCATTTTATCTAAACACTGTCACTTTCAGAAGTGGCATCAGAGTATATATACATTTGAAAACCGGAGGAAAGAAAACATTGAGATAAACGGTTCTCCCCCAGCATGCTGTGTGTTGACAATGATTGCATAAGCAGGTGGCCTGGCTCTACGCAGAACTAAACAGTGAATGAGTGGACAGACGGAGAACACTGCCTTATTAAGTCATAAGAATGATGTTGCCTAGCAGCACCTCCATGTTTACACAGATCAGACACATCCTTTTCTCCTATGCAGACATAAACACGCACGTCGCGGTATTTATCTGCAAAAGCAGGGGCCAGAAATGTCATTGGCACATGTACATTTTCATGTTCACACCATTACAGTATGATGGAGGCGTTCTGTGTGTGTAATGATAAAGGAGTGTTTGGCTCCACCTAGTGGTGGCTGATGGGTGTCGCGGTCATTTGCTGGCAGAGGTGAGCTACATGACACATGGAAACAGTGAGGGTGAAGGAAACCTCGACTTAGACTGGATGTTCAGTGAGTCATTGTGATTAATGTGGCATATTAAAGATACAAAAGTGGTGCTGTTATAGTGACAGAGTCATGCAAAAGCACTTACAATGTAATGTTTCATAACTTTCAACATGCTAGTTTTGCTAAACTGTGCAGCGTTATGTTGTGGCACCAACAAAGTTGTACATTTGTATATAGCTTTACACAGAAAAGGTTGGTAATTTATATTTTCATGCTAAAATTATACATTTAACATGCATATTGTTTACATCTTGTGGCTATAATATCGAAAGTCTATGTTTTAATGGCCCCTTTCACTTCCATTTTAAGTTCCTCACAGTATTTTTTATTTTTTAAAGACAGGAAAACAAAATCTCAGACCATACTAGACCACTATCATCCTAGCATGTTTTAACACATTTATAACATGTTTTAGCATATTTCTAATGTTTTAACATGCTACTAGCATTTTTTAACACACTGCTAACATATATTAACATTTTAGCATGTTTTAACATATTTCTAAAATTTCAACACATTGCTAACATGTTTTAACATGTTTATAGTATGATTTACCATGTTACTAGCATGTTTATAGTTTGATATATGTTGCTAGCATGTTTCTAGCATACTTTAACGTTTATAGTTTGATTTAATATGTTGCTAGCATGCTTTAGCATGTTTATAGCATGTTTTAACATTTCTGTTTTAACACGCTTCTAACATGTTTTAACATGTTTGTAGTATGTTTTAACACATTACTAGCATGTTTTGGCATGTTGTTAACATATTTTTACACATACATAGGTTTTAGCATGTTGCTAGCATGTTACTAATATATTTCTAACAAGGTTTAGCATACTGCTAGCTAATACTAAAATAGCATACTGCTATACTGACGTGTGACAGCAGAAGGCATGAGACTGTGTTTTTGTACCAGTATATTAACAGCTTTTCATGATTGTAAAATACAATACATTCATGATTGTTTACATCTGATATTTTGCTGACATCAGAAACCATATATACACAGGAGCCATACAGTTATGCAAATCAACAGTGCAATTTTGTGCTGCAACCAATAAAAGACATATCAAAACCGTCAGACTGTCACTCAGTGTTGAGATCTCAGCATTCGAAACTTCATCCGGTACATTAGTGACCCAGTAAAATGCCAACAAACATATCAAAACCGTCAGACTGTCACTCAGTGTTGAGATCTCAGCATTTGAAACTTCATCCGGTACATTAGTGACCCAGTAAAATGCCAACAAATTCTTCACAGGAATAAGAAATAATCTGAGGTATTTATTTATCTGACAACCCTCACCTCATGTTTGACGGTGAAGAGGAAAAAGTATCAGAAACTTTACTTTCATTGTTGATAAGTATTTTTTATACTAATTTCAGTTGACCGCTGTGCTTGTGACGAACATTACACAGTATGAATACGCAGTGCCACGTTCAGTGATAAGGTGCGGTCACATTAGCGAAATTTCAACTAAAAAAGTCCATTGGCTACTGTCAACAGTTTAGCAATGTATGAAGCACAGTTTACCCAGAGGTCACCCTTTAAACAAATCAGCTTTCTGTTGGTCAATTAGGCAAATTTGCATGAGGAACATGTGGGGACCTTATGCGAATCAATTTCGGTGGTCAACAGTAAATGTGACTGGACCTATAGACTGGTGTATCAGCTAGGCTATTTAATGGGCCATTTTGAAATGATTGCCATAGCATAGACCATTAATTATGCCTGTATAGCTGATTAATAGAAGTGTTAGCACCCCCTTGTGTAAATTTCAAAATATACCACCCTTAACAATGGATAACATACCAAATAAATTGATCGATCATAGATTGATCTTGTGCGATGCTTTTCCTATGATGCTGTTGTAATGAGTGCAAACACTGAAGCATGGATGGACAGTTGAGACCTTAATAAATAAAGCTTAAAAGGCTGGTGATTCCTTATGAAATCAGCCCTCAGGTAGGCACACTTGAATCAGTGTAGGCTTTTATCGTGGCTCCATAAGACTGCCTACACTTAAAACACCCACTAAGATACATTCACATCCTCATTCATTTCCAGTTAGCCAAATCTAAGAACCCAAAAATGGTTTGAGTGAGTTGTTATGAGGACATACTAAACCCCAGCATGTGGGAAACAGGCAAACTGCCTGATATTTGTATCTAATGCACTTCAATTCAGTTAAAAACAAAATCATAGTAGCCTAATAATATGCTTTCTATCCAGCAGATGGCAACAAAACTCTGAGGGAATGACCTTGATATGTACCTTGGTCTAGAACAGGGCTGTCCAAACTCGGTCCTGGAGGGCCGGTGACCTGCAGAGTTTAGCTCTAACCCTAATTAAACACACCTGAACCAGCTAATCAAGCTCTTACTAGGCATAGAAACTTCCAGTCAGGTGTGTTGAGGCAAGTTGGAGCTAAACTCTACAGGACACCGGCCCTCCAGGACCGAGTTTGGACAGCCCTGGTCTAGAACCTCTGTTAGTGTCAATTTTTTTGTAACAGCATCAAAACGCACAAATCACTGTCCAGCAGGCATCAATAAATCAACAGAACAAATCAAGAAATTAATGAAAAAACATGAGCACCCACTCAGAGGAGACGAGCAAGAGCAAGGAGGCCTTTAGTGGAGGATTTAAAGAGGACAATGAATATCATTTAGATTTTTCCTAAGAGATCATAGTGTGCTAAAGATGTATGATACTCCTTAGAGGAACCTATTAATAATTACCTGCACTGAGAATTACATAAGAGGCACCAGTTTAAACCTGCCTGCCTATGATGGAACATGATTTTTTTTTTTTAAATCAGCTTTCTCAGCTGTTAGTTTGGGCGAGTCTAACTCAAGCTTGTCTGGAACAGGCCCGGTCATATTTCACTTCAAAAAACCAAACAATCTTGGAGAGAAAATTTCCTAGTTCTCATTGCTGCAATGTGAAAAAAAGTCGATCCCGTAATGCAAAAAAAACCCCCCAAACATTCAGATGCATTGCAGCAATGACATAAGAAGAAAAAAATATTTGTATTAATTTGAGGAAGAATATTAGCTGACTATTTCTACTAAACCAGACAGGTATAAAATAAATTTCTGAATAGTGCACCAAGCTGAATAAAAGTGAACCCAAGCGAGGAGCCAGTATTCTTGCTTGTCTCCATTATGTAAACATAACCAAGATGAAAACTGATAGTGCTGTAACAAACACAGCATACTTGTTTAAACATGGCATTCTACAGTAAGCTGCCTTAAAACTACCGTCCCATATCACCAAATCAAGACGGCTGAGTTACAGTATCTAAAAATACATTATTCCTATGTATTTTTGTGTGTCCATCTCTAGTATTCAAAAAGTGCGAACAAGTCCATTAACAGCTATGCTGCCCGTTAAAGAGGACCAGAGCAAACGGAGCAGTTGTATTTCACAGTGCATTAGATAGACACAGTCACAGAATGAATATGGCAGGATATTGGAGATCTTCCCGCTGCTCTTGCAGGAGTTTTCACACACTTATAAGTGTGTGTGTTGGCAAAAACAGAGATAATAACAACAAACTGTTGCGGTCAGCACCTGCTAAAAAAAGGTCTGTGCTCAGTCATTCAGTCAGTCTCTGGTAGATGGTGCTTCTCCATTGGAAGGATGACTGCAATTAAATAGATTGGCACAGTGAGGAGGTACTGGGGAAAACTACACCTCCAGTATCATCATCATCATCATCACCGCCAACCAGGACACCTCGTATCTAATCAGACTCCATATTAAACCAGCTAACACTGGATGATGCTCAGTCTTCTGTTCCAAAACCTAGTCAACTGCCTATGTAGGCTGCATTATCATAGACCCACTCCCAGTGCGAAGGCTGATCCATCTTCATCTAAGCTTCCTAGTATCTGAATTACACATATCCTTTATGATACATACTGCACTGTGATGAGCTCAGTCAAAATAGTGGACAAAACAGGCAAACATTGAATGTAAATATACTTCTGATTCATTCAGGGCTGAAATTATGTATGTATGTATTTTATCCACTATTGGTGTGCTCTGTATTTTATGCTTATTAGAATATTACAGTGTTAGCTTAGCAACATGCTAATGCCAAACTTTAAGCCCAAAGTATACTTTGGTTTGTATGTGCGCAGACAGATTTTTCTAATCGCACATGCTCTGTACAATCAACTCACATGTGAGTTTTTTTTTTGTTTGCACTAATTAGTTTGTCCACAAGGTGGCAACTTTAAAGTCAAAAAAAAAAAACAGTGAACACACTGGACTCGGCCACAACAATAGACGGCCACGTTGACGAAAGCTTGTGTTAAGGGATGATAAGAGATACACGCAACTCTAGTTTAAACATTAGCAAAACTATTTATCACCCATAACTTCTGGAAGCAAACAGCGCAGACACTAGACAAAGTTGACATTTTTGTAGTGGCCACGTGTCGAGCACTCAATATCAAATAAAGTATCATTTGAATGTGTTCAGCTGCACGCAAATTCTAGCGTTCAAGTCAAAAGCAATGTACACTTTGGGATTTAAAATCATTTGTAAGGGGAGTTTCTCGTGCGCTTTGGGTGAGGAGCACTATTTGTATGACGAACAAAATTGCTGCCTTATGGACTTTGGCTATAGACAGCAGCACTGCAGCTCACTAGGTTTTGGAACACAGCCTTTTAGTCTCTTCAGTCCGTTTTCTCATGGACCTGATTCTCTGTCCTCTCATTAGGTTCTTGAGCTGCTTCTGCAGATAATTCTTCTTCTGAACAAGGTTCTGGAGTCTCTGATATGCTCGAGTCATTCTCCTTAACACAAACCATGTCCTCTCCACTGCCACTGGTTGGTGTCCTGGCTCTCCGTGCGTCGATGTAAGCTACGATGATCTCTGAGTTCTGGTAGATGATCATGCCTGAGAGGGTGAGCGCAGCTCCAGCACAGCTAAGAGCCGTCAGCTCATGCCCAAACAGCAGCTGGGACAGCAGCAGGTTCCCCACCACATTCAGGTTGCCCAGGATGTGCAGCGTGACAGCGGAGGTCAGGGTGATGACACAGCAGCTGGCCAGGTTGTAAAGCACTGAACCCAGGCAGCTGAGCAAGATGAAACCCCAGAGGTGGTGGTCATACTGGAAAGGGGACTGCAGCGTGGCCCAGTTCTCCAGAACCAGGGCGGCTATGGCCAGGATGCAGAAGCTGGGGATGGACATCAGATACAGTAGGAAGACAGCGTTGATCTTCTCCTCCTGGAGCAAGATGCCTGATAATTATACATATACAAAAGAAAGAGTGTGTCAGTTTAGCTATTATACCTCCATATGTAGTTGCTGACACATTTTGTAGCCATCTGGATTGTCATTTACCAAAGCACATGCAGAGCTATGGTGTGATGTAAACAACCTTAACCTCTGTGATGCAACGGTCACAACTAAAATAGGCCACTGAAACATAAAACCAACAGATGACCTACATGGAGTATCTCTCCATATAATGAATAAACATTTTTCTGAATAAAAAATTAGTAATGGGACTAATACCATGTTATAATTTGACGAAATGAGTCAAGATTATCTTTAATCAATGCACTGTAATTGCCACAACTCTTTCATGGCATGGGACCAAAAAAAGATTTTCATTGTATTTTGTGTATTTTACACAACAGTCTAGTAAAATGTGCGCAACACTATGACTTAAACTGGACTAAGATGGAATGAAGATAATACAGATTTGTTGGGATTGATGGCTGAAATGTGTTAAAGGTTTGACAACTTCATATCTCTGGGGGCTGTAAATTGTATAATACATTTATAGACATTATTAAACATCTATGTAATTTAGTTAATTCAGCTTAAAGAATATTTTTCTGCATTTTTATTCTATTCATTTTACATTAATTATACTTTAATTCTACATCATTTAAACGTCTACATTAAATCTGTAATAATGACATTTCTGTTAATATACATCCTCTGGTTTAAAAAAAATTAACTAATAATAACATATGTTTGCCTATATATTTAAATGTATAGTTAATAAATTATTAAACATTTTAGTTTTAATTTATTTTCTGTATTTTTACTGTTCATTGTATATGAATTGCATTGTATTTCTACATTTAAATTTCTACATTAAGTTTTCAATTATGACATTGTTCACAAACCCCCCTTTAAAAATAATAATAATAATAATAATAATAATAATTATTATTATTATTATTAATATTATTATTATTATTATAATAGTAATATCACACCCTGACCAAGGATACATATTTGCCTTAAATTATTATTTTTTTTTACATTATTAGTAGCAGTAGTAGTAGTAGTAGTGTTAATAATAATAAAAGGATTTGGCCTCGGCTCCTTCTTGGTTTCCTAATATTGACCCGTCATAGCTGTACTGTACACATCAACAAACAACTCTGATGTTGTTCAAAACTAGGCACTGCCCATTTAGATTGCACTTAAATTATTATTATTTTTTTTTTACATTATTAGTAGCAGTAGTAGTAGTGTTAATAATAATAAAAGGATTTGGCCTCGGCTCCTTCTTGGTTTCCTAATATTGACCCGTCATAGCTGTACTGTACACATCAACAAACAACTCTGATGTTGTTCAAAACTAGGCACTGCCCATTTAGATTGCATGCAAACTGCAGGATATGTTATGTAATTCTACAATGACTAAATTTTCTTTGACACACATAGCATTGAATAACATCAGCATACACGGCTGCAGCTGTATGTGACGAGATATGTAGTCATAAAAACACTAACTGTACAAAACAGGTTCTGTCAGTTCTGCCACAGACTCTTGCACTCAGTCCGGTCTCACTCCTTGATGTTCTTAGGGCCAGTCACCTACATAATTACTCTAAGGAGGAGGTCACTTAAACCAATGGAGCTCAGCTGACTCTCATTTTGAGAAATCAAAAACAGTCAAGAGTCCAATCCCTATCCGTTACGGTGAGGTCATTTGCTACTTGGGAAATCGGGTTAGAACAACAGCAACAACAGCAGCAGCAGCGCTCATGGGCGAGTGTCTGGAACAGGATGTGGCAGCTGTTGGCAGACAGGACGTTCTCCTCTCTGACTCAGACACACACTGGGAAGTTACATAAATAATGACCAGGAGAATGTGAACTAGCCGAATGGAGACAAAAATAGGCTCTGCTCTCAGGAACATTTCGTTAAGAATATTTTCATATGTCACTAAAACAGGCGGTGGCTTTTTGAATGATGATTAATTTAGATACAGATTCAAATTCCTATCTACTGTGTACACGTTTTATTGTCAAAGTGATCAGAAAAACGCTCTGCAGCTATGAGAAAGCGCACTAGTAGGCATCCGACTCGCGAACGAATCGTTCTTTTTTGGGGATTCGTTCAAAACGATTCAAAGGGCGTTAAGAATCACTTGACTTGTTTAGGAATCTAAACTGTTCCACGCCTTAATTTGACCTTTATTCATTTGTGACATTACTTTGACTTTTCCCGTTCGTGGTCACTGCATCGATTTTGGTCTTCTTTTTCAAAAACAAATAAATAAATAATTATACAAAAAGCTGTTTATAGCCAATTAAATATTTTAAAGCTGAACATGAGAATGAATCTATCAATTACTTTGACATTTACAGTTAAAATTCCCAATTATTTCCATGTTTTCCATGACTGTGAAAACCCTGAATCTATATTACTAAATCGAAAACAATAGCATTTACTGCAAAAAATAAAAAATAAAGTATTGGAACCACTGATCTATATATAATGACGTTCTCGATTATAGATAAGTGATTGGAACACATTTGAGTGAACCATTCATTAAATCGAATTGTTCGAACGAACCGGTTCGCTTAAATGATTCCAACATTCTCAACGCTTTATTGAAGCACCCTTTTCCTCTTTTGTGTGTGTGTGTGTATGTGATTATATATATATATATATATAAAATAAATAAATAACTATTGTATATTATTCGTTGTACTCTAGAACTGGCTAGTTATATTTGTTGTTCTCCTTATTGTTTTTGTTTAATTGAATATTTCTCATTGTACCCTGCTTGTATATGGCATTAATAATGATTAAAAAATAAACGTACTTTGTTGAATGGTTTTTACGCCTCTTAACATAGTGGCGGCGAACACAAACAGGCAGCCGGTCTGGTCGAACTGGACCTCGCCCATAATGCTGAACGACGCCCCGAGGCAGATGGGCATCATCGCGGTGTACTTCAGGATGTGGTGCTGCTTTCCCAGAATCAGCGTGGAAATGGCCAGCGTGAACAGCGGCGTGGTGGTGTAGATCATCTGCGCGAACGAAAGCTGCACATAATTGAGTCCCACGTTGCCAAACGCGATACTAGCACAGAAGGTCAAACTCAGCAGGAATACTTTGCATTTGGCGCTGGTGGTTAAATCCTGCTCGCAGACGCCTCTGTGCCGGATCACCCTGCACTTGATCAGTCCGTAGTCCACCACCATCGCCGTCAGCATGTGGAGGGCTGACAGAAGCAGCGGGTATCTGAAATTGTACACGGAGAATATCCATTTGTTGAGGCTGGATATAGTGGTGCCCGTCACCAGCCACACGGACACAGCGAACATGAGGTGCAGCATTTCTGGCGGCTGCCTGCCCCTCTTCCCGGCGTCCCGGGTCTCCTCGCACTTGGTGGAGGGGCCATCGGTGCTGATCATGTTCGCTTCATCGTCGCACCTGCAGGGTAAACACATCTTAAGTTCGCAACGTAAATACATCACTCATGTCCGCGAATCAAAAAACGTATTAAACGAGTCGTAAGTATGAATTCAGTCTGTGTTGAAGCAACTGAAGCCAAGTGTGATTTCTTGCCTGTTTCGACCTGCTATAGCAACCGTGTGTTTTGAAAGCGGACAGAAACAACATTCCGGCTTGTCTACACGTGTTGTTATTATGTGAGGCGGGTCTGGTTTGTGACGTAAGGCTCCGGCGAGCGAATCGGTTCATTTGAACGGATCTTCGCTGATTCTTTCACTGTCTCGAAATAGCATCTTAATATGACATAAATGGTGAGAATAATATGCTATGCACTGTTTAATGTAAGAAATGTACAAATTAAAAAAAAAAAAAATGGAGATATATAATAAAAGGGTAAATAAAAAAATTTGACAATAAAAATATAGAAATGAATAAAAAAGGATTTAAATGAGTAAATAAATAAAGGCATAAATAAAATGCATAAATGCAGTACTATAACAGTATAATGGGTAGAAAACCATAATAAATGTAATAGAAACTAAATATTTTCCAAATAATAGTCTCTCATTCACACTGCACACCTTCACATTATATGCTGTCTGTCTGTCTGTCTGTGTGTGTGTGTGTGGTACGTGTTTGTGAGACTGTAGCAGGTGCTGTGTTCCTCTTGTAGATGAGTCTGATCACTGACTTTATAATGAACACACACACACACACACACACATTATAGAGGCTTACTTAATCCAGGATCCCGTGATGGGGTGCCTGAAACTGCAACGACTATCCAGCCCAGCTAAACTAAATTTACCAAAAAATTACTTAGATTTTGTCAGTTTAAACTATATATTTATTATTATTTAAATAAATTTGTCTTATAAATATAATGCTTATAAAATATAAAATAATATAATTAATAAATATATTAATAATAATATAATTAAATTAAATCAATTAATTAATAATGCCTTTTAAATATTAGGATGGGGGTCCCTCGCATGAGGATGATCACATTTGGGGGTCCATGTAAAACATTGAAAACCCCAGACTTCGAGGGATAGTTCAACCAAAAATGAAAATTCTGTCATAATTTTCTTCTGTGGAAAATAAAAGACAATTTGAAAAATGTCTCAATATTTTTTCAGACAATGTAAATCAATGGTAACCAAACCAATTTGGTTTCTGTCATTCTTCAAAATATTTTATTTTATGTTCCGCAAACGAAAGAAAGTCATACAGGTTTGAAACGACATGAGGGTGAGCAAATTATTACAGATTTTTCCTTTTTGGGTGAACTATCCCTTTAACGAACCAGCGAATGAATCATTTGATTCAAAAGATCCGAGTCACTGGAATGAATCCCCACCACCACGCAGACCGTAGGAAAATATAATAAGTCAGCGGACCAATCAGAAATCGGCTCATGTTGCGCTGCCGGTTTTGGATTGGCCGCTCCTAGTTTATTCAAAATACTGTATTAAAATGGTTCGATGTAAGAAAATGCTAAACAAATTGCGGACTTTGTTGGTTAAGGAGTCGGGATAGCGAGTCCCTCAAGGTTTTTGTTGCGGACTTCACTGCTGTCGGTGTGTTTTACACAGTCACAGCACAGCAAATGGTCGCTCTGTTGTCCATTATAGAGGCTGATTTCATCCGGAATCCCGTCATGGGGTGCCCGAAACTGCGACTACTATCCAGCCCAGCTAAATTGACCAAAACCGACAGAGATTTTGTCAGTTTTATGAGGCTTGCAATGGCCTCATAAATTGAGGCCGTACATATGTATGTATGACGCTAGTCACCGCAGCATCAGTATATTTTATTTCCCGATTGTAAATGTAATTTCCATGGGGTTGTTCAAGCCAAAACGTCTGTATATTTCTTATTATTGCATTATCCGTTCGGTAATACGACTGTCGGATCATATGAAGGATGCACTTGTCTTGATCAGCACATCTTAGTCACGTCCAGTGAATCATGAGAGCAAAACGTTTCCTTATACTGCTCATGAATGACACTAGCAGACCTCACACGGGCGTTTAGCGGTCTAACAGAGGAAATAAACACATCGGTCCGCGTCAACAGAGTGTAATAGCATCTTAAACAGAGCAGATTTCAGCAGCACCATGTCCAGTGTGATCAAATGCATTTCCCTGGTCCCTTACCTTATTCCCGCACTGCTGAAGCTAGATGCGTTTATTATATCCTGCGCGCAGATACCATCGGCCCTCTCGGTGAACGGGCAGCTGTTGCCAGAATAGCTTTCTAGCTGTGCAATACGTCCCCGCGAAGCGTCTATTCATTCACTGCGGCCGCTGAATGGTGACCCATCGCTTGCTGCTGGCACGTGGACAGTCGGTCGCTTTTACAAAATATGCTTCAACATCTCAGAGAATGCTTGTTTGGTTAACAATTCTCTCTCTCTC